ATATTTGTTAATAACTAATTAATCAAACAAAAAATCGTATTCAAAACTGTAAGAGAACGTTGCTTAAGGTTTATGCTATAGTCTTTAATTCCAAAAGTGCGTGAATTCTTCCTGAAATTCAAATAATTAGTGAAAATTCAAGAGATTGGAACGAGAAATATGTCTGTCCTTGTCGGAGAATATCGCGCTCCTTGTCTGTCACGCGTTGTGTATCCGTCCTTGTTGCTCGGTATAGCGTTCCTTGTCTACCAGTAGTTGAGATACCTCCTTGCATATTCTATATTCCTGTTACATTTCCGAGTTTCTGGTTCCAATCCGATACATGATTGTAGAAAAGAACAGCAGCAACTCGTAATAAGTTCAAACAATTGTTCAACTGAAATCGCTAAATTCTGGAATCGTGGAATGAAAAACAGACCGCAGATATTAAATAAGATGTAAATTAAGCTTCTGGACAGTCAATATTATTCAGAAGTCAACACATTGCTCTGGTACTTGTTGAGAGAGTTTTTAATAATTAATTGAGCAGAGATTCATATTTGAATACACGTAGACCAAGCAAATTTTTATTTGCAAAGAAAACTAATTAGAGAGATTAATTTGTGAACTTTCACAACTACATAATTCTAATTAGAGCCATAACTTCTTGGAATTTTTGGAATTTTCGTTTTGTTTGCAAACATTGATTTGTTTAATTTGGTTTTCACTGTTTGGTTTCGAATATTTTGTAGAGTTAAGGTGTTAAATAATAATACTGTGGAATTTCACTTAAATTTAATTTATTTAATAAAGTTAGTAAAAACCAATAAAATACAATTATAATTGTCAATTAATTCTGCTATAATAAGTGTATTTTTGTCTATTTTTTTTTCTCTTAATTGGTATTTCCTTTATTATATTACAATTTTCTTTTAATTACTACAAACACTTGTAATAATTCATGATTCACAATTGGATCTAAGAAGTGCATACATTAATCACAAAAAGAATGAGCAACATTTCAATTTGATTTATTTAAAAGGACAAAATTTCAAAGTAAAATCTTTATAATTTCACTTTTCTAGATATCAACGTTAAAGACTAGAAATTAAAGTTGCAACAATATTGTGTTTGCATGAATTTCTATTATATCTACGCAAATTTCCTAAAAATTTTATATCAACAAATTCCTACTAATTCCTGTGTTCTTTCAGTTACTTTCAACTCATTTGTATTTCTTCAAAATTTGAAAATATCTCAAGCTTAAGTGAAATGTGAAAAGATTCTTGTTAATACAATTTTTTACAATTTCTAAATTATCAATTAAATTTTATGTTATAAACACCTTAAAGAACTATGAATCATTTTTGCTAAACAAAGTGTAAAACTAAAATGTAAGAATTTGTGGACCATAGCAGCGTTAAGAGAGAACAGCACTATCCATAACTGATTGTATATCCCATAGAAATCATAAGTGTTTCTTTAATAGCAGGGTGTAGCTGTTTCTCAATGTATCTGGTCAAGGCCTGGCTGGCACCGCGTAAGAACACATCCTCCATTTCTCTGGCAATGTGTTCCTTCGACTGCCAGTTTCTACTATCATTCTCCAAATCAATTGGAAAAATATTGTCTAATGTTTCATCAATGTACAAATGTCTGGTCTCTTTTGGCGCGTCGTTTTCACTCATCTGATAGCTATTTTCTCTCTTAACGTTCGCCTTTAATTCACTGTCCTCCAAGTTCCTCGGAAGGATCTTAGTTACATTGTTTAAGCCGCTTTGTTTCGTTCGTTGATGTTGTTCGGTGCAGTTGCCGGTTTCGTTGCTTTTTGACCACTTGCTGATCAAAGCTGTTGCGAAATCTTGAGGGGTAATCGTCTCTGCAGATCGTGCGGATATCTTTGTGGAATGACTGCTGGCTTCCTGGCCACTTTCGAAAGATCCTGGAAAGCGACGAACGCCCGAAGAACTTGCGACAACGCCGGATTTGACCAGGGCACGCTTCTCCCTTGGCAGAGACTTAGTCAGCCAAACGTTTTTTCTCCATATTCCTAATTTCGCAATGGGCGCGCTCACGACACGGGACTGGCGCGTTTCATTCGGTATGACAACGTCCACTTCCTTTGAAACACCCGCCAACTGACGTGGTTCCGCTGCTTCGTAGTCGTCGTTCAGTGTTAAAGATAGAAGCGCATACTGAAAGAAAAAAATGTGACGTTTCGATTAGCTTCAAATATATTAAATTCTGTCATCACACAGTAGTACTTTTTGCGTAACGATGAAAATAAAAATGTGTACCTGTATATTACGTTTCATAGAAAATCTTTAGGTACATGCATTATATGTATGTTTTAAATGTATTTTAAAATTTAATTGTAACTTAATTGCTATCTCCTCGCATACAAAAAATACATTCATAAAAGAATCTTTCTATGAATGTTTGAATGTCTCTACTTGTTTTTGAAACATGTTGTTAGATTAAATAAAATTAAAAAAGTTTCACGAGCCTTTAAAATAAAGTGAGATAGACAACTTACCTCGCCTCGAGGTGGATAGAAAGGAGGCCATTTGTCTTGTCTCTTAATCTGTTTGTCTAAACGCGTAGGGTGACAACCATAAGCGTAGATGGAAGCGAATCTGGGCTCTAAGAAACTGGATTCCGTTCGAATACGCATTTGTCCTCTGCCTCGAGCGATTGGACTTGTCATAAAATCAACACCTGCTCGTCGTAATCTTAGAGTCATCGTGCAAGACTCGGCTGGTATAGGTGGTTGATGATCACGCGGCATTAACGAAACCATCCCAGAAACGGACAGATCATTGAGCATTACTCGAGTCTGAAGAGAATTGTTGCCAGGCTCGTAAATGCATTTCTCAACTCTGGCCCATGGATTTCCGGTGTTTCTAGCTCCTTGCGGCAGCTAACAAAACAGAAAACAATGTTAACTGAAGTTAAATCACGTTACTACGTACATGGAACTGAATCAATGTTTAAAACTTTTCATTAATAATTAAAGTGTATAATATAAGATTTTCCCTGAAGCTGAAGATTTTTTTTTTTTTTTAATTTTCTCATGGTAATATTCTTTCTTTAATACTTTATTAAAGTAAATCAGTTGAAATAATAAATTAATAATTTACTAACAAGCGCTGAAAGTTCGTTTTGGTATCCAAGACTTGTCCTAAATCCTCATTTACGATATAAACAATTGATGCAATAAATATTACTTTAACAGCAATCCGGGAGACTGACATCTCAAGCGGTACAGAACGGAGTTTCTGCTGGTAAAACATTCCCGCTTCCTCTTCTTCGAGTCCTTTCCTTCTGCTCGAGTCTTTGTGAAGTGCATCTAGGGCACGTTCCAATCGTCCACCGCAGACTTCCCAACTCCCGACGTTCGAACGAGCGAAACTGACCGATGAAAATGTCAGCAGCAGAATGATCGCTGCCACCTTGAAAACCGACATCATCATTTCTGTAAACGACAATAACGAAAAATAACGTGACCAGGCGAAAACCATATTTAACATTACGATGATGAATCAATACGATAGAGGTACAAAGAAATATGGAAAAGTCCGTACGGCAGAGTCAGCAAATACCCGACGCAAAATACCCAAAAATCGAAGATCAATGAGAAATAAAAATCTAGTACACAGTCTACGCGGGGAGAGTAATGTAACCAGGTCATTGTCCTTTACGTTTCTACGGTAAACGTAAGTGCAATGACACTTTTAAGGCTGGTAAAAACCAAGGAGACGCATCTACGTGTGGTGGCATCATTAAAATATCTCGGTAGGTATATCCTGTAGAAACTCAGTGAATTCGAGCCGCTGAAACAGAGCATGAATGCGTCTTCCTTCCGTCTATTTCAGCGACAATCGAGTGAAACCAGGAAGCATAATTTGGAGCTGCGAGCTGCCTCTATTGTATTCACCGATTATTATTAATTCTTCCAAGTGACTATCGGGTTAATCGCGCTGATGTTCCAGAAACAGTAGGATGAATTCTAATTCGTCTCCGTAATGTCCAATTAAAAGCGAAATGCTACGAAATTAAAATAATATCAATTATGCGAATTAAAGTATTACCGAAAGATTATAGCTGAAGAATCTCGTACGAATTTCAACGTTGTACAACGCTGTTTTCCTAACGAAACGCCTGACTCGTTCTTACAGGTTGCTAAGTGGTGGACGATGTTATAACACGAAAAACAATGCGATTTCCCAGCACAGATGCAACACAGGTTTCTCAATTTCCTAATTGACCGATATCGAAATGTTGTAGTATGCGTAGAGTAGTAGTGTTTCATTCAGGTACATGCAACAGTTCCAAGTACGAAATCTTATTGTTTAGAAGGAACGTATGAATCCAAGTCGGCAAGGCGAATAAGGCCAGCACCGCTATTTTTGTATGCTAATGCGCGATTTGATGTTGATTTCATCTGCTGGTGCTTTCGCGCTCCGTTAACCGGTACTCTAATGCCGATTTTGCAATTTTTTTGCCAGAGAATATTCGTGTCTTCGTACTATCATGTCTTTTGTTTTTTCAGTTCAGTCTAGCGCTAGAAATTGTATATTTCTTTTGACAAAATTTTAGAGAATGCACAGAGTAATGTACTTTTAACTATAAGTTAAATTGTAAGTAAGTTAGAAGAGAAAGAAAGACGGTAAGATTCGATAGAAAAAACAAAATTAAAAAAAAAAGCTTACTTTTATCTAAATTTACCTCAAAAGTTTGAAGAATTTCTAATTACATAAACATGTTCTTCCTGTCAAGTAAAATTGTTAAAACATACAACAATAAATGTAATTCTAATTATCTACGTACAGATTCACTCGATTTCTCTGAGATTTATACATCAATATTAAATAACATCGAACAAAAGTAAAGTAAAGGAAAGTGCAAAGAGTTTCTCTTTAATATAATGTAAAAGAAAGAAAGTACTTGATTATTATCAACGAAAGGTAGCAGCTAGAACAGTGCATGTTAAAGTAGTGAAAATTTCTGAATGAAAATTTATGCATATACGTATGTACTTACTGAAAACTCGACTTGTGTTACGCTTATTTTTTAATGACGGAAAATTTAGTTTGCTGGTTTCTGTCCTTCCAGGAGATGCGAGTACTCAGCTTGCACCTTTGGTGTAAGGTAGAATAACAATGAAAGTGGCTAGATACGCGCTGCGGACTCCTACTCTTAAGTCTTTCTTTCTTTCTTCTTCCGGCGGTGCGTGGAATATACTCGAATGCAGCAAGCTTGATAGCGGCATCGCGGGAGATTTACCCTGTAAATTGACAATTTTACAATTCACAGATGAATCGATAATTGTAACCCAATAATCCTTAAATAAATGGACATTAACAGATTTTAATGTAATCCAATCCACATATGCATATATATATGTGTGTGTGTGTGTGTGTGTGTGTGTGT